ATTCCATTTGTGCTTTCTTAAGTTTGATACTAGCCCAGCCTTGCTGCAGGCAACAACGCCACACTGACAGATGAAATTTGTTAAAGCAGGATTTTGATAGAGTCTCTGCATCAGAGCTTGATAAAACTGATCACTGTGCTCCATTCCAGTGTCTTCAAAACCCTTAGAATTAATGAAACTTGTTTAAACCACTCCTTTCGGTTTGATGCTTGGGCTTCCCAGGTTTTCAGATCAAAGTTGTCTTCTTAATTCTTGTTCTTTTATTGTCTTCTCTCCTTAATAGTAATTTTTCTCATATTCTCTAACACTCAGTAACCCCTTGCGTCCTTGTGGCTTTATTGCATTGTTTAGGTGAAATGAATATATATATATATATATATATATATATATATATATATATATATATATATATATATATAATATTATTATAATTATTATTAAAAGGCCGAAAAGACGAAAAATAGAACAACACATATCCTCAAGCCAACATCTGTTAAGGAAAATAACTGAAATTTATATGATGAAAACCAAGATGTGTTTCCCACACTCTACGGTGCTGAAGTATTTAAAGAACTCATTCTGGGCTCGTTCACTGGTTTCATACTTTCAATTATGATAAAAAAGCCCTGAATACCTCACTTTATAATGTTTATTTTGCGACCAAGATAACAATCGCTTAAATATATATATATATATGTCATAGTTTAAGTTATTCGAAATCGAAAAGGTCCTTCAACTGTGAGTCGCATCCCGACATTAAAACTAATCTTATATCAACATATCTACAACAAAACCGAAAGGTTTACCTTCATAAAAATGTCTCCGTTTGCCTCCTCTAACTATGATAGAATCATTGAGAACTTTTTCAATATGGCTGATGTTAACCTCCAGGAGAGCAACAATTTTCGGCTTCTGGAGTTCATGTTTTCTACTGACATTATGTGGAAAGATTATATTGAATCAATTGTTAGAATCGCTGCTAGGAAGGTGGCTTCACTGTGTTGTGCCAGACAATTTTTCGAACCAGGATCTATATTGCACATTTATAAATCTACTGTTCGTCCCTGCATATAATACGGCTACAATATCTTGTCTGGTGCTCCTGCTTTATATATCAAGATTCTTGACAAAAATCCAAAGGAAAAGTCTGTAATGTTATAGGTCCTGACCTGGCACCTCGACTTCCGTCACATTGTCATGACGTGGCTTCCCTCTGTCTTTTCTTCAAATATTTTTATGACAATTGTTCAGACGTGCTTTCTGACTTGATGCTTCGATTGTACGACTTTAAGCGCGCTACTAGATTGGCAATTAGGTCTCACTGTTTTACTCTAACTACCTAGATATAGCCTGCCTATATGTCTGAGATGAAGTATTATGTACACTATTTACATTATTCGGACTATTGTCCTCATCTTTGTCGCCATATTTATTACAACGTTTCGGCCTTTCAGTATCTGTCTATATTTCTGAGATGAGGTATTATGTACACTATTTACATTATTCGAACTATTGTCCTCATCTTTGTTGCTATATTTATTATGACGTTTCGGCCCGTCAGTATCTGTCTATATTTCTGAGATGAGGTATAATGTAAATAGTGTACTTAATATTTTCATCTCAGAAATATAGACAGATACTGAAAGGCCGAAACGTTGTAATAAATATGGCGACAAAGATGAGGACAGTAGTCCGAATAATGTAAATAGTGTACATAATATTCCACCTTAGAAATATAGACAGATACAAAACGGATTTTTGCTTATTCAATTACATTTTAGTTCTTTTAGAATTTTCGAAATTTTGGTTAAAAATCTTGTTTTTCTTGCGTCAGCGTGGCAAACTATAAATTAGCATAGAAAATTTTAGTGTCTATTTTATGCAGTGAACAACACTTTGATTTAGAAATTCCTGCAAAAATATTTATCGAATTTTAATAAAACTATCAGCACTTATACACCAATTAATTAAATTGTTTTAGAATTTTATTTTTTTTACATCTGTTACCCAACCACACATTTAATTTTATGAAATTTCAGGAAATTAAATTTTGTAAATGTTAAGTTAAGAGAACTCCTTAGAGAATTTAAATCATCAATTTCTTTTTGAAAAACAGGTTTGAATCGTAAAATAAAAAAAAAATGAAATAAAACTAAGACATTATTTAATTAGAAAAACTTTTAATTGCTTTTATGTATAGGATATATTATGGACACTAAAAACTTTAATTACTTTTTCAATGAATAATGCATTTTTACAAGAATTGTTTTCATTTTCTCTTTTTAATTTTAATTAGAATAATTCATAAAGTTTTAAATATTTTAAAATTCTGTATTAATTTGCGAGGGTTCGGTGATATTGTTATTAAGTAAAAACTATATTTGCCAATCATAGATCGAAAAAGTTATTACAATATAGTGAAACTTTGAAAATTTTAATTTTTTATGTGTGCATAAACAAGCTGATGGCATCATCAGAAAATAACATATTTTCTTTTGCATCAAAAACAGTGTAAAAAGGATGGCCTTTTCCTTGACACTGCTATTATTTTAACTACCTTCACTCCTTGGCAATGTCTATCAGTTTAAAAATCGATGATTAGAATTATATTAAAATCTAAACATATTATGAAAGGGAATTAATTTTTTGAGAGTTTAATACGAAAATATCTCTATCTATAAAAGGCAGGATGTGAGTGTGTGTGTGTGTGTGTGTGTGTGTGTCTGTAACGAATGCACGGCCGCAATTTTCGATGGAGTTGCACCAAAATTTACATGCACATGCTCCAAGTTAGCTGGAAGGCCCAAACCGACTTTGCATTTCCCAATTCCCATCGATAGTGGAAATAATCGATTTTTTCATGCTTCTACGGCAATTTTCATGTAGTTTGCGGCCATTTTCTACTGGCCAGAGTGAGAGCCTATAGCTGGCTGCCAGGAATATGCAGGAAGATTCTATTGGCCAGAATGAGAGCCAACAGCTGACTGACACGTATGTTAACTACCATGCTAGCATGCAAAAGAAATCGATAGCTGCATTCGTCACAAGTGGGAAAAATTTAAATCTGCATGGCACTTTACTCCAATTGGCTCATTCGCTTGCTTAAACTCAACGTTGATTCTCATTCTGCAGAGCTGGGTTGGGTGAGAAAAAGTATTTGTTGTTAACATTCTTTTTTCATTCGTTTTTTTCCAGTTACGAGTTCTTTTTTAAAGCTGATCGTTTTGTGTTCATTTTGTTTAGTTCTTTTTCGTAACAGATTTAATGTTTAGTATAGAGCTTAGAAAAAATTCGCAGTGTGAGATAGGCAAGAAGTAAGGCATGTAGCAACGTCAGCACGGCAAAGGGCACTCCTTTAAAGGCAAGGAAGGCAAAAACTATTTTAAGTCAAATGATAGCGATTGCGGTATGAGTCGTACGATTTTTGAATCAAGCACGGGCGACGCCTGGCCATGCTGCTAGTTAATCACTATTTATTTATTTCATTGTTTCTTTACAAGAATAATTTTATATTTACAACATCCTAAAGATTAATACAATTAAAACTAATGCAATATTTATCATTTACCAATTTATGAGGAAATAAATAGGAAAATAATTTTTATTCATAATTTTATAAACATTTACTACTAAATTATTAAAATATATAAAGCATTTATAAAGAAATCCTTATTATTTACCATTTTATAAAGTTTGAATCGATTGGCAATTAGCCAATGTTTTTCCAACCAAACAATCTAATAAATAAAAAGTGTTGATTATTTTTGTAGTCAATTCTCAAGAACAAAGAAAATGTATAAGTATCATTTTCATATGTTTAGGTTTTATTTCAATTCTAATCATTAGTTTTTAAAACAATAAATATTGCTGAAGAATGAAAATCATACTTATTATAAAACGCACATTGTGTGTTTGTGTCTGTACGTTTATATATTGGATCGGATTTCCTACATTTTTCAACTGATTTCAACAAAACTTCACAGGACTACGTAAAATTACCTTGCGGTGGTTCTGACAGCACCAAAAATTGGAAAAACACAATTGTTCTTGCACAAAATCAATTTGAAAAACACGATTAAGAGGTATCGCGAGAATGAAAGGGGGACAGCTCATATCGAGTTATAATTATTATAAAACCCAGGTTGGTTGTTTGTGTGTGTGTGCGTTCGTTTATATATGGGATCGGATTTCCTACATTTTTCAACCGATTTCAACAAAACTTCTTATTCGTTTCTTATTGTCTTGGACACTTTTTTCTTTATTTTTACATTCAGAATGCTTTAAAAATTCCATTTACAAGACAATTGTTTATAATAAAATTCTATTCAATCGGTAGACTCATAACGATTGAAAACAATGTTTTTGTTTGAGTTTAGGTTTGACCAATTCGTAAATAAAAAGCAACAAAAAAAATAGTTAAGACATGCGTGCCCGTCAACCTTAAACAATAATCTTTGTTAATTTTATTTTTCAGTCTTTATGATGGTCGATACTTGATCTATCTCTTACTGTTACATCCCTGGGCAACACCGGACTCTACTGCTAGTAGTTAATATAATAGCAATGTCAAGGGAAAAACTGTCCTTTTGACACAACATTCTTTTGTGGGCATGAAAGTCCATATTTGCCTAAATTTTTATAAGATTTACTGATTGAAAGCGAACTTAAAAACTAGTCATAGAAATTATAAGTGACAAAATAAAAATGGGTTACAAAATTAGATCAATATTGTTTGTAGATGAAGTTATTAACATAATTCAAATCCTTTTTCTTTCTTTTTTTTGTTCTTGAAACGATTCAAGATGGTGACTTTTCCTTATTTGGAATTTGAACCAGAATCTGTAAGTCTCCCAAATAACATCTTTTTATTCATGATTCATAAACTATTTTCAATCATTTCCATTTTATATGGTCGGATAGAAGGAATATATTTGAAAAGAAAATAGTCTCAGAGTAAAAACAGCATTATTAAGGGCATATTTATCCATGTTTGCAAAATATTATCTGGGTAAAGAAAATAGATAGATAGATGTGAACAGAATGAGATACACAGAATGAATATAATATGATATATATATATATATATATAGATAGATAGATAGATAGAGAGAGAGAGAGAGAGAGAGAGAGAGAGAGATAGATAGAGAGAGGGAGAGAGAGAGAAAGAGATAGAGATAGAGAGATGCGAGCAAAGGGAATAGATAAATATGAACAGATATGAAAAAGCTGAAAAAGATAGATAGAAAAATATATATGAATAGGCTGAGATATATATATATATATATATATATATATATATATCTTATTATATCAATCTATTCATATATATTTATCTATCTTTTTCATTCTGTTCATATCTGTTTGTACATATTTATCTATTTCACTTTGTTCGCATCTATCTATCTATCTCACACATCTATCTCTATATATATGTATATGAATACACACACACACACACACACACACACATATATATATATATATATATATATATATATATATATATATATATATATATATATATATATATATATATAGAGAGAGAGAGAGAATGAATAAAATAAAAAAATTCCCAAGAGGGAATCTATTAAAAAAGTGCTGTCAGTTTAAAAACAGTTTTTTTGACATCCCCGCCTTTTGACGGGTGCATTTATCCATGTTTGCCAAAAAAGTATTATCTGGGGAGAGAAAATCTTGAGATGATGTACACACTTTCTTTACATTCCCCCGTCTTAATGTGAATGGAGATTAAAGTTAGGTATGGAAGCCAGAAAAGGTAATATTGATAAGATAAATTGAAAGAAATGCCAATAGTTTATTTTAGCTGGTAATCCATTAAGTAAACATTTTTAGAAATGGTGAAAAGTGTGTGGAGGTCAGTCAAGTACCTGGGTGAAATTAGAGCATCGAATATAAAACGTATTTAAAGCTGCTCTTCACCGAAATTAATCCTCAGAAGAATGACCTTCTCCTATAAATAGTTCTTTATCCTTTTGTTATCCGTTCACCATAAGCAAGGCGATAAAGCCACTAAGACACAAAAGAATAATGGAAAGTGAGAAAAAGTTACTGAGAAGAAAGGGCAAAAAAAAAAAAAAAGACTAGGCTCGAAGAGACAAAAGATGGCGATTGACATTGCATTGACTTTTTTGGTAGATAGATAGAAAGAATGAATATAATTAGATACATAAATAGATATATAGATACGGACATACACAGATAGATAGCTAGATTGATATAAATTGACTGATATATATATATATATATATATATATATATATATATAGATAGATAGATAGATAGATAGAAAGATAGATAGATAGATAGATAGATAGATATAAACAGATTGAGATAGATAGATAGATATAAACAGATTGAGATAGATAGATATATATGAACAGAATGAGATAGATAGATATAAACAGATTGAGATAGATAGATAGATAGATAGATAGATAGATAGATAGATAGATAGATAGATAATGAACAGGCTGAGATAGATAGATAGATATGAACAGGCTGAGATAGATAGATAGATAGATAGATAGATAGATATGAACAGAATGAGATAGATAGATAGATAGATAGATATAAAGAGATTGAGATAGATAGATAGATAGATAGATAGATAGATAGATAGATATGAACAGGCTGAGATAGATAGATATGAACAGGCTGAGATAGATAGATAGATAGATAGATAGATAGATAGATAGATAGATAGATAGATATGAACAGGCTGAGATAGATAGATAGATATGAACAGGCTGAGATAGATAGATAGATAGATAGATAGATAGATAGATAGATATAAACAGATTGAGATAGATATATATGAAGACAATAAGATAGATAGATAGATAGATAGATATGAACAGGCTGAGATAGATAGATAGATATGAACAGACTGAGATAGATAGATAGATAGATAATTAGATAGATAGATAGATAGAAACAGACTTAGATAGATAGATAGATAGATAGATAGATAGATAGATAGATAGATAGAAACAGGCTGAGATAGATAGATAGATAGATGCATACATACATAGACTGATACACAGATTGCTTATATATATATATTGTTTATATATATATATATATATATATATATATATATATATATATATATATAATGATGTAAGTATGTTTTATAAAATGCTGAGCGCCTTTGGCTATACATTTAGCCATTTTCAAGGATGATATATTTTAATTGTTAATATATATATATATATATATATATTTATGTGTGTGTGTGTGTGTGTGTGTAGTTAGATAGACAGATACAAACAAACTGTAATGGATAAATATATAGATGAATAGATACGAACAAACTGAGATAGAGAGACAGATTAAGATAAACAGATTGATACGAATAGAGTCAGATAGAATAGGCTGCGATAGATAGATAGATATGAACAGAGATAGATAGATAGATAGATGGATGAATTGTTGCTTAATCATTGCATCCCAAACAAGGCGATAAAGCCACTTATTCTCAAGGTGTGTGTGTTAATGATAGTGAATGAAACTGAGAAAACATTACTGACGAGAAGAGGCATTAAAAGTAGAAAAGGATTTAAGCAGACCCTAGAGGACAGGAAAGCAAGCAGATCAAAGAGAGTTCCACAGTCGAGAAGTGCGCCAGAAGAAACTTTTAGCAAAGAGGGAAGCCCATCAGGATAATAGCCATGAAAATGTTCATTGATTTATTGCGACAGTGCTTGAAGCCGATATGCCAGGTCATGATCAATAACGTTGCAGATTCTTTGGATTGTCTCAAGGATCTCTAGAGACATAGCGGAAACCACAGACCACAGATGTCAGGAATATTCAATGCACACAGGAATGGTAGACATCTAAATGTTTAAGATAGATTCAAACGAAAAAAAATTGTCTAACAAGAGAAATTTATTTTTAATCATTTCACCCCAAGCAAGGCGGAAATGCCACTAGTATGCAGGTGATTAGATGGAGTGAAAGTGAGAGAAAAGACAAATAAAGGAAGGTTTTTAAGAAAGGACGAAAGATGAACGGGATTCAAGAAGATAGAAGATGACGATTGATGTTGCATTTAAATTTTGTTAATCATTTCACACCAAGCAAGGTGGGAATGCCACTAGTACGCAGGGGTTTACAGGGAGTGAAAGTGAGAGAAAAGACTGAGTATAGGGAGGATTGAGGAAAGGACAAAAGATGAACGAGATTCAAGAAGATAGAAGATGGCGATTGACGTTGCATTTAAATTTTTAAAGATTTTAGTTATCAGGGGAGCAAGTACACGGAAGTGAGTTCTACAGACGGGATGTGTGAGAAAATAAAATGTTGGAATAGAATTGTCAGTTCCATTGAGCTAGATGCAATCTAGTAGCACGTTTGAATTCTTGATTACGGTTCACCAGGAAGAAAGCAGTTTATTATAAAACAATCTATAAGTGTATTGCAGTCATTATAATTTTAATCCTTTATAAAGTTATTTAGTTAAACGTTCCTCGTTGGCGAGAAAACTAGCTTAATTTACTTTCGAACTACTACGGGCGCTCTGTGAGGATCAACCTCTTTAAAATTAGTCATGGTTTGCATGCCCAACTCTCTCACCATTGTACTGCGGTAAAATTCTCGATACGTTTTAGAATTCGTTCCCATTTGCACTGCTCTTCATTGATTTGACATGTTTTGGGAAAATAATTAATGTTTTATTTTCGAAATCTAGTCACGTTCGCAAGGTGTTGATGACATTTAAATTCTAATTGTTTCAGCAGAGAGTCGTACAATAAAAGAAACGGCACTTGAATTTTATTTTGAATTTCAAATACAAAGCCATACATTAATCCGACATTTTGTTTTTTTCTTTCTTTCTCTTCGTCCCACACTTTATTTGATGGCTTTCTGTAGTTTTCTCTCTTTTCTTATCGACTAATTTCCATTAGAATGGAACTCACCTTAAAAAAAAAAAGATGCTTTACGAAAACCAGCATTTTAAATTCCTCATCTTCATCCCGTTTGAGGCAGGATCTAAGACGCTGAGCTGAAGCCTAAAAGGACGGACAATGCTAAACATTATTTCTAAAAGAGTTCCAACCAATTATCCGTTGTGTTCAAAGAATTACAGCATGTGCCTGAAATCAGAAACCGTATAAAACCCGAGTATTCGTCGATCTTGTGAGAGTTAAACTCTCTAGACGTTTCTTCCCCATGACGTGTCTCGGAAATTTCCTCTGTCACCCCAAGCAAAACTAGAAAGCCACAAGCTCGCAGGGAGTTACAGGGAGTGAAAATGAAAGAGAAAGTGAAGTCAGTGTATAGGGAGGATTGTGGAAAAGACAGAAAAAATGAAAGATGGGGAGTGACGTTGCATTTTACTTTCTGAAGATTGTAGTTACCAGTTATTAGCAACTAAACGGAAGGGAGTTCCACATACTGGAAGGGCGAGAAAAGATAGTGTTGGATTAGAAGTAGCGATTGCACTGAGCTATTTCAATAGTAAAAAGCATGGCCCTTGTCATGCTTGAATTCATGTATTAGGGGCATCAGAGGAGTTGCCATGTTGATGTATATAGAAATAGCTGAGGAATAGCCACGTCCCGTCGCTAAGACAGTGATTAAAGTCGAGATGACTGGTCATGATCGATTACCTTGTGTATACTTCTTTGGATTTTGTCAGTGACCCAAATTCCTTGCAGCAGACGAAGCAATTGATTCGATAAAGACATTCCACAACATGTCAGTAGAAAAACTTGAAGCGAAGAAGCCGTAGTGTGTGGTACTCTCCAGAAGTTTAGCATCAGCCATGTTGATAGCGGGCAGAAACGATTCGCTGTGGTAGTTATCGATTCCTATTTCTATTTTTGTAAATACATCTTCATTGTTCACATGATCTGTCCATGTTATTTTTTGCATTCGTCGATAGAACCCCCAAATCTGTCGCTTCAAGTCTCATTCAGATGATAAGAATACCTTTTATTGTAATTACAATTTCTCTTAAAATTTCCTCATTGTGCACATGATCTGTCCCTGTTATTTTAAACTTTCGTCGGTAGAACTATATCTCTGTCGATTCGCGTCTCTTCATCTTCGAGAAAATTGTTTCAGTCATACAATTGCGTTTAGCATGAAGCAAAATGTCACCCCTCGGAGTTGACGTCAATGTCCACTTATATATATATATATATATATATATATATATATATATATATATATATATATATATATATATATGTGTGAAATGTGCATATAAATATAAATAAATATATATATGTATAATTATTTATATATTATATGCGCGGTACTTATTAGAAAGCGCTCAATATCAGAGATAGAGCTAACATATTTGGTTGGATAGATGTGAGTTTGTGACCCTGGGTTTGAAACCCAGGGTCACAAACTCACATCTATCCGACCATATATATATATATATATATATATATATATATATATATATTCTCATGGTAATTTACCCACGCACGTATGGACTCTTCTAGCTATAAATAGGAGCAGGTACTGCCTTTTGGAGAGGGAATTTTGCAGCAGTCAGCACTGACAATCGGACCGAACATTCTTGCTTTAACACTCTCGTCTGTATATGTTTGTATTACGGATTCTCTTAATATATTTGTGTAATTAATTCCTTGTTTTTATTTCTGGCCCTAACAGGTCCACAACACACACACACACACACACACACACACACACACACACACACACACACACACACATATATATATATATTTTAAGGGAAAACTATGAGAAAGTACATGAAGTTTTCGTGTGACGAGTTTCATTCTTTATGGCTTCATCGGACAAAAGTGATGTTTGAGGGATATGACTACTCATGCACACAAATATATATATATATATATATATATATATGAAAAGACTAAAGACAAATTTATACAGATATATATGAATAAATTTTGTGTGTTTATATAATTATATGTATATATATATGTATATATATATGTATATATGTTTCATTAAAGACTACAGACAAGGTACTGCAATTAAGCTTTTTATTTAATTTTTCTTGTGTTCGAGGAAGTGTTTTCTTTTCTGGGGAGAGGGTGTGTCCAATTATAAGCGCTTTCGGCTATACTTTTAGCCACTATCAAGGATGATTTTTCTTTTTTGCTTTTTAATTAGGTGTGTGGGTTTACTGTATGTTTCTAGAGTTATAAGGATGTTTTATTTTTCGAACACTGTTAGTATATAGTGACTGTGGTCGTAGTTAATATTATTAAATGTTGGCTTTTTCTTTTTTATTATTAAGGCTTCCATTATTTTTAATCGTCTTTTACATGTAGATGACGTCATTATGTTTGTATTTTCTACTAGTATGTTTCGGATGGAGTCTGGTAAGTTTGTGTGTGTGTTTAAATGGCTTCTAATAGAGCTGTGGTCAGATAGGTCTATCGTAAGTCGTCTGGATAGGGATGTAGTCGTGTGACCAATGTAATTATTTATGGATTCCATTTGATTAGGAACACATTTCTTTAAGGGGACATTTGAACGCAGAAATATAACCGAATGGATAAATATAGGTAGATGCACGAGCGAACTAATACATATAAATTCTCTATATAAACAATTAAAAAAGAATATATATATATATATATATATATATATATATATATATACATACTTATATATATACATACATATACACATATATATATATATACATACATATATATATATATATACATACTTACATATATATACATGCATATACATATATATATATTGTGTGTATTTGGGCAGCATATTTTCATTTATACATGTTACATTAAATGATATAGACAAGTGTTTTCGTAACGTCTGATAAGTTTAATAACATTATCATTGAACGAAGAAAGAAATTCACAATATTGATCCATATTTTTTTAATATAATCTAAGCTTTCGGCTTACTTACGCCATTATCAAACATGTCAATTACAACATATTAAACAATATACGGACAAGATACGGACGCGCATATAAGACGCTAGAAGCGAAAATCGCACCGCATCTCATGACGTCACACATGACCACACGAGCGTGAATTGGAGAATGAAGTATGGAAAGCCGTTGGTATAAACCAATGGCCTCTGTTACCAATTATAGACATTTAAGAATATTTGTAGAGATGCCATAATTGATTTTGTTTAGGTTGGGTTTCAATTGTTTGATGTATAATGCTTCAAGTATTTTTAGTTTTTGTCTATTGTTTTCATGTCGAAGTATAGTTGTGTTTTCGACAAGTATTTTACGGAATTGTGTGTGCGGGCAGGCATGTTGTTTTAAATGCCTAAAAATGTTTTCATTCCAATGTAGTGTCAAGCCTCGTGTAAGCGAGTTTGTGGTATGACCAACAAATATTATTTAATTCGTTGGAGATACAATCTCCCAAAGTGCACTTGAATTTATAAACTATGTTGGTTTTTTGCAAATCGCTAACCGGGGGAGAAGAATCATTGCGAAGAATTA